AGGCCACCATCTCTCTTGGGATCATGAATAGAGAACCTGATGAAAACCATAAATTTCTTCTTTGAAAAATTCATATCATTCTACTTATAATTTTATCTGTTCATGGACCTTCTGATGCACATTGTTAGACTCCAAATTAAGAATCTGATGTGAGGCCGGGTGCAGTGGTGCACACCTGTAATCCCAGCGGTTTGGGATGCTGAGACAGGAGGACCGAGAGTTTCAAGCCAGCCTCAGCAAAAAGTAAGGCACTGAACAACTCAGTGAGACCCTGTCTCTAAATGAAATACAAAAAAATGGGTATGTGGCTCAGAGGTCGAGTGCCCTGAGTTCAATCCCTAGTCCCCGCCCCTCCAAAAAGAAAAGAAAGCAACAGATACATATTTACAGTTAGAGGAATCAATCCAAGAACTCTATTGTGCATCATGGTAACTGTAATTAATGAGGATATACAGCATTCTTGAAAAATGCTAAGAAAGTGAATGTTAAGTGTTCTCAAAAGTGACCATAAAAAATATCTTAAAAATATCACAAAATTATGAGCTGGAGCTGGGGCTCAGCCGTAGTACACTTGCCTGGCATGTATGAGGCACTGGGTTCGATTCTCAGAACCGCATATAAATAAATACATAAAAATAATAAAGGTCTATCAACAACTAAAAAAAATATTTCAAAAATCACAAAATTATAACTATGAGAGGTGATGAATTCACTAATCAGTTAGATATAGCCATTCCACGGTGTTTACACGCTTCAAAATATCATGTTGTGCAGGATAAATTCATACAATTTTAGATACTGATTTTTAAAATTAATTGATTTAAAAGAAGAAGCCGATGCAATTCAACTCCTTCCTTTTATGGCTGATAGAACCAAGAAACATGGTGGCTATGTCACTTGTCCATGGTCACAGAGTGAGGCAGGGTTGAGAGTTCACTCTGGTTGTGAAATGATTTTTTATGATTACTTGATTATGTGACTTCCAAATAGAGTTCACTTAATTTAGGTGGATTGATGTGAGGGGTTCCATAGGCTTCAATGTTAAATTCTCCTTTGAGGCTTTTCTCCTTACCTGCTCTTAACCTTGACCCCATACTCAAGCATTTACCTACTCCTCCATTCAGAACAAGGAGGCGGCAGTGGAGAAACACATTATCTAAAAAGTGGGGGTGGGGTGGAAGAGTTTTCTTGGCTGAACTAAAGCTAAGCAAAAGCATGTTTCCAGGACTTCATCTGCTTTAAATTTTTTTCTTTTCTTTTTTCTGGTAGTTGGAAACTAGCATTCTGGAAATGTTTTGTATTGTAATACTAAGCAACCAGATTCCTGACATTGTTGAAATGTATTTAAAAATCCCCAATTTTATGAGTCGCATGCAATTAATTTGGAGAAACTGCACATGTTGGATAAGGGTTGTGTTAAGGCTAAGGAGGAAGTTTAGATGGATATTCCAGGAAGACGGGGGATTTCCTTGTGAACATGTTTGCTCTCAAACAATCACGAATTGAAAGACAGAACTATCGCATTAAATGTACCAAGTGACTGCTTAAACAAAAATGTATGCATATTTTTGTATTCATTTCTTTTGAGATATAATATATTTTGGTGATAAATACCCCCTATAGAAAATTTGGAAAATACAAAAGAAAGAAAGTAAAATTGCTGCAATTCCAGCAAGCAGAAATAATAATTACCAACAATTCGATGCACATATTTCAGACTTTTTTCTATGAATGTACACACTTAAACATATACACACACATAGATGTATATAATGTGTAAAACTATTTTACATAAAAGTGGGGTTATGCTTCACATGAATTATATTTTGATACTTCAACAGATATTACAATACCTATATTTTTAAGTTATTATTAAATTTTTTTGGAAGGACTTTTTTATTTGGTACCAGGGATTGAATCCAGGGGCATTTAAGCACTGAGCCACATCCCCAGCCCTTTTTATTTTTTGAGGTGGGGTTTCACTACATTGCTTAGGGCCTTGCTAAGTTTCTGAGGCTGACTTTGAATTGGTGATCCTTCTGCCTCAGCCTCCCAAGTTGCTGGAATCCCAGTGACTTGTCACCATACCTGGTTAGAAGACTTTTTTTTTTTCCAATGTGGCGCTTAGAGATTAAACTCAGGGCCTTCTACATGCTATCTACTGCTCTGCTATACCCTCCGCTCCTGAAAAACAATTTTTAATGTGTATATAGATTTTATCATACATCCACTACAACATTTATTTTACTGTTGGAAATCCAGAGTGTTTTTAATTTTCCTCTGGATCTTTGGGTGGATGCACCTCTATTTCTTTAGAATAATTTCCTGGAATAGAACATTTTTAAAGGTTTCTGTTATAGATTATTAAATACTTTACATAAGCATTTACTGTATTAGTTTACACTTGTGCCTATTGTACCTGAAAGTGTCCCTTTTCCCTAATGTCCTATTAATGCTGGATGTTTAAAATTGATTCCAATTTGATAGACTTTATATGGTATCTGCTGTGGTTTGGATATGGCTGAGTGCATGCCCCCAAGGGTTCGTGTGTTGGGAGTTTGCTCCTTATTGTGGTGATGTTCAGAGGTGGTGGGACCTTTATGATGCTGGGTCTAGTGGGAAGTGGTTAGGTCTTCCTGAGGGCACTGCCCTTGGAAGAGGTTAAGGTAGTTCTTGTGAGACTCTGGATTAGCTGTCTTCCCTGGTTATTACAAAGCAACAAGTCAGGTCACATCCTGAACACTTGTCTTCTTATTTCCCTCTGTGATCTTTCCATCCCAAATGCTTCCATCATTGTGATGCCATCTACCATGAGGTCCTTTTCACCCAAATAGAGCTGAAGTGAGTACCATGAGCTTAAACCTCCAGAACTGTGAAAAAAAAAAAAAAAACAACCTCATTTCTTTATTAAGTATCCAGTCTGAGGTACTTCATTATAGTGATAGAAAATGAGCTAATACAGGATACTGTTTTAATTTGCATTGCTTTGATCAATTCCAAGGTCAAATTCTTTTCATGTTTATTAGTATTTTCAATTCTCTCAATGTAAATTCTTTTGTCTATTTTTCTATAATACTATTCATCTTTGCAAGTTGATTTGTAGGAAGTCCTTATATATTGAATACAAACTGTCATATGTGTTAAGATATTTTCTCTAGCTTAGAATGGTACTTTTTCCTTCTTCTGTATCATAAAAATTGATGATATTGATCTGAGCTGAATTGCTATACAAGTCTCAATCATGTTTGTGGGATGAGTCAAGTGGAATAGAGAAGGCAAATGTGGAGGATTTGGGAGTTAAAATTGAAGTTTTGGAGTTGAAGTCCTCAATTTCTCTGGTTTCTCTGAAATATTTCCTCTTTAATTTCCAATATTATATATTTTCTCAAATATTTTAGTTTCAAAATGGTACAATACAGAATCTGTTGCTACTATGAGACATGACTTGTGTCCTTGTAGGTTGTTTTTCAACCTATTTTGATTTTAGATAGCTTACTGTAATCAGAAAGTTTCTTTCCCATAATTCTAATTCTTATTTCATTTTCCTCTGTTTACTTTTGGTGACACAACCTTGGACTAGAGTCTTTTCCTTCATCCTCTTTCTGCACTTTTTTGAAATTCTGCAAGAACTGAGCACCCTGTAACACACTGTTCCTTGGTTGAAGGACTAGTTACCTCTCACCCCATCAGCGGTGACTTTTTTTTTTTTTCCTCCCTGATGGACTGTAATTTGCTAACTCACTTCCAGATAAAATGTTCTATTAAGATCTTTTAGCTTCAAAGGAGAGAAACCAATTCAAGGGCAATCTAGCAAAGGAGATTTAATATAAAGCTTTAGGGTGGGGAATAGATCTAGGACCAGGCAAGAAACCCAAATGTTGTTGGAAATCCCCCAAAATAGGCTCTCTCTCTCTCCTGTCATCATTTCACATCTGATTTTTTCTTTCTTGGTGAATAGGTTTCATGATTTTCTTTTTTTTTTTTGATGGATTGGCTTTCCTCTGCTCCTAGATTTCTTTATAATAGTATAGAGATGACTGCCCGTGTCTCCACCATTACCATCTAGACCCACAGAAATCATGACTTTCCTTCTCTCCGTCCTAAATTCGAATGTGCAGGTGGGGGACTCTCGCCCAGGTTCCATTAAGTGCCCACCTGAGATCTGATTAAGTGAAGGCAGGGGCGCGGGGCCACCTGGACAATAGGGATAGTTAAAAGAACTACTGAACTAGCAAAGAGGCCAAAGAGTTGTACATCATACCAACTATGTTTCTAAAAGCACGTCCTATAATTTCAGATTTAATTTCAAAAATAAACTAAAACTATCCATTTTAAGTTTCTCATCTGCACAAAAGTGAACATTGATATTTGAGACAAAACCTGAGAGTTCGGTTGCAGTCAAATGCCGTTGTTTTGTAGAGACACAGACTCTAACACAACAATGAAAGCATGGGGGTATGTGGTTATGTCAAAAGCAATATAGACCCTGAACTGCTAGGTAAGCCTCGCTTTTACTGAGGCTGGCTTTGAACTTGCAATCCTCCTGCCTCACCCTCCCAAGCCGATGGGATTACAGGTATGGGCCACCAGGCCCAGCAAGCCTCCTATATTTTTTCCAGTTAATCTTGGAGCACATTTTCATTTAATTTGTACAATTAGGTTAAGCTTGCTAAAAGAAAATTTATTAAATTAAGCCAAAATAAGGAAAAAAATATGTGTAATATTTCATGTTAGAACAAAACCCAAATCCTTAATACATAAACTTAATATTCCAAATGTGATTTTGCAAATATAAATTAAATGTTAATATGACTGTATTTAAGACCATGGAACAATATTCCCCTAGAGGAAGGGAAGGGCTTCCTCAAATTGTTCTTTAATACCTGAACAACCAGTAGTTAGGGAACAAAGGAATCAAACTGACGTGCCTGCTGGCTGCTTTATGTAGACCTCCATCAAATCTGCTTTGAGAATTTCTAAATAGTTTCTTTTTAACTTACCAGCAGATCGCAGCTCTTGAAGACTATCTTAATCAATAGCAGATAAATAAGTCAGTGAAGAGAACAATGAAGTCTTCTCAAGTTATCTTGTATTCAGACATCTTAAACAGGATCTGACAAAAATATCTGTTGGATTAATCATAAAGCTATGACCAACCATGATATGACATTGTGACAACCCATAAGCCCTCATGTTTACATGGCATTATTTCAAGGAACCTCACCAATTCATAGGATGGAGTAGATAGGGAAATAGGGTATTTGGTTCTGTTTTACAGAAAAAATAAAGAAAGTCTTTATACAAGAGTAGTATTAGGAAGACCATTAATGGTAAATTTGGCTTCATATTCTTGAACAAATACATGGCTTTTGCTATAGTCTAGATGTGGAATTTCCACCATAGGCCTCTGTGTTAAAAGCATCATCATTAGCTTGGTGCTGTTGGGAGGTGGTAGAACTTTTAAGAGGTAAAGCCTAGTGAGAGGGTTAGTTCTGATGACTAACTAGTGAAGGATATATTGGGATTCTAGCTCCTTCCTCTTTTTCTCTTTCATTTCCTGGGTAAGAGGTAAACAGATTGCTCTGCCGTGTGCTCCTACTATGATGGGTTGCCACAGGCCCAAAACAACAGGGCCAATTGTCATGGACTAAAACTTCAAAGATTGAGCCAGAATAAACCTTTTTTTTTAATAAGTTGATTATCTCAGGTATTTGTTACAGTAACAGAAAGCTGACTGACACAGTTTCAGGATAACAATAATAATAATCAGTTCTTTGGGAAGACTTTACATTTTTGGTGCTATGCTTTATGATATGTTATATTTTGCCATTATAGACTTTAAAATTGTGGGGGAATGAGTGTTCAAAAAGGAGAGAACCGTATGCCTGTGTCATTTATTTAAAAGCAAAGAGTCAAGTATATCTCCTTTTAAAAATGAGAAATATTTTTAAAAAACTGTGCCAACAAAAGTAAAGTTTTCAACTATTTGTCTCACTGTCATCAAGTTTCAGATTAGTCGCCAAAACTCCACTACAGGGTCTACAGAGCTCATGCACACACACACAACCCTTGGAGAGAAAGGGTGCAAGTGGAAACCACCTGAGCTTCTTTTGCTCCATGCCCTTGAACATAGCGGTATCTGTGGAAAGTGCTGCCTTTAGTGGCTTTGTACATGTTTTAGTCAGCTTTTTCACTGCTGTGACAAAAAGACCTGACAAGAACAATTTTAGAGGAGGAAAAGTTTATTTGGGGACTCACGGTTTCAGAGGTCTCAGTCCATGGCCTGCTCTATTCACTGGGGCTCCAGTGAGACAGAACATCATGGCGGAAGAGGGTGGCAGAGGGAAGCAGCTCTCATGATGATCAGAAAGAGAGACTCCATTGCCAGATACAAAATATCTACCACAAAGCCACACCCCCAGGGACCCACCTCCTCTAGCCACGCCCTACCCACCTTTAGGCAGCACCCAATTAATCCCATCAAAAAAATCAGTTTGCTGATTGAGTTAAGCTTCTCATATCCCAATCATCTCTTCTCTAAACCTTCTTGCATTATCTCACACATGAGCTCTTGGGGGACACCTTACATCCAAACCATAATAGCACCCTACACCATAGAGGTACCTTTCAAACAGCCTGACCTTGGTTGGGGGGAGGTCTGTCTGTGGCTTATCATCATCACTGGGCACAAAGTGGAGGGCACCCCCTCTGCCACACATTCGCTCTATTCCCTTGTCTGGATGTGCTTCATTTCAAAGTGCCAAGTATGCGATAGTTAGTTCCATTTGTCGTAACTATTTCACAGATGTTTTCCATTTATCTTCCACTGGATTGGTTTTCTTTCTTTCTTTTTTTTTCCTCAGAAAGAGAATATTTGCTCCACGATTTGGACTGAGAATGGTGTGTGGTAGAATGGGTGGGGTGGGAGCACATTTACATAGCCTGAGAGAAAGTTCTGGAATTGTAGGTGACATTGTGGCAAATCCTTTGGCCTTCAGTGAAATAAACTGGCTCCTGCAGAATATCTTCAGCTGAAAGTACTTTCAACGGGTGCTAAAAATACATTGCAGTTTATTTTCCTCAGTAGGGAGCCTATGTGTTCCCACTTGACCTGGAAACACAAAGAGATCCCACGTTAAATTTAAAGCTACCCATTCCAAGATAAATTTATTTTCAGTAGAACAAGGGAAAGAAAAACAACAACAACAGACATATTGGTACAATTTTGCTTTTGCTGTCTGGAGGAGTCTTGAACACATTTTTTTTTTTTTTTAACAGTCTGTATTGAGGTGACTACTCTCAGGCTCTTAACCATTGCTGCTAGGAACTGGCTTGTATTCAAATCAAATCAGATGATGCTTCAAAGGTAGATTTACTTAATTTTGGGAAGAAGGTGGGGCATGCTTAAACAACTTTTAAAAATCAAAACAAAAGACGTCAGATTCTTTGTCCTTAATTTCAGCTTGATAAAGTAGTCTTTTTTTTTAATATCCTTATCAAAATAGTATGAAATGCCTTCTAATTGAAGTATGGATTTTGTAGACACTGGTATTCTACCCATTTGCCTAAAACAGATCAAACAGTAACTGGCATAGAAATTCTGTTGGCTGCCTGCAGTAACATTTAATAATAGATGTTAAATTCTGATCTTGTACTTCGGGAATACTGTGTGTTTAGAGCTTTTCATTGTTCAATATGACATTCTTTGATCTTGAGCAAAATTTATTTTCTCCTGAACACTGGGTGTCGGTCCTGCTTTCCATCTGGTACCAGTGCTCTAGGCTTCAAATACTCAGTCTGCTTCCAGTGAGCTTAGAACATGTCCCCTCCACATTTCTAACCCCTCATCAAATAGCATGGGGACCAAATGCATGAATTTGTTTGAGTTTTGGATTCTGCTGTTCACTAGCTCACCTTCATTTTTTTTTTTCTATTTCTAAAATGAGGATAATAATGGAATCCACTGTTCCGGGAGATTGTGGAGATTAAATGAAATACTACATGGATAGCACCCAGCACAGTGTTTGGGTACACAGAACACCGTTTAATACATCTCAGTTATTGAGACTAGTGAATTACTCTCAGAGGCCCAATAGCAGGAGTTCAGATGACACAACTCTTAAGACTGTCTTTGGCTAAATTGTTCGATGTTGATTTTTAAAATATTTTATTATTTTTGATTGTCATGTATTAATTGTACCTATTAATGGGGTTCAGTGTGATAGCTTAACACATGCATACAATATACACTGATCAGATCCAGCCTCCCTTAATCCATTCTCTTCCCGCCATTTCTTCCTTCCCAATCTCTAGTAATCACTCTTCTACATCCACATCAACCTTTTTTTTTTTTTTTTAATTTTTTATTCTGCACCTGAGGGATAACATGCAGTACTTGTTTTTCTGTGTCTGGCATATTTCATTAACACAATGTCTTCTGGTTTGACTTATTTTTACTATAAATGATAAGATTTCATTCATTATGTCTGAATAATCTTTCATTATTTATATATTCCACATTTTACTTACCCATTCCCTTGTTAATGGGTACCTAAGTTGATTTCACATCTTAAGTATTGCAAATAGTGCCACATATTCATAGGCATATTGATGTCAATTTTTTGTTTGTTCGTTTGTTTTTGTTTTTGCACTGGAGATCAAATGTAGGGATTCATACCTGCTAGGTAAGTGCTCTATCACTGTGCTACAACTGCAATCCCTTTTTCTTTCTATTTTTTTTTTCTTTTGACACACTGTCTCACTAAATTGTCCGGGCTTGAATTGGTGATTCACCTGCCTCAGTCTCCCAAGTACCTGGGATTACAGGTATGCACCACCACAACCAGTTTGTTGATGCCAATTTTTAAAGTTTATTTCTAATCTTCTTTGAAATAAGTCTAAAACATTTTAGAGAGATATCCCTGCTTTTCCTCTTTCTGTTTTTCCCTTGATTTCCTCTACTTTTGTAAAGGGGGAGATTTTCTCTGAGTTACATTTAGTTGGAGAGAAGGGAGCATTGTTGCCGTTATTTAATTTAAATAAAGTAAAACATTGGCTGGATCTAAAATTACAAGAGAAAAATGTGGAAAGTCCTCCCCTTTGTGATCAAGCAGTATATATACTCAACACTTCCAGACTTCAAGGAGAGTTCAAATTCATTTTCTCATGTGGTATAACCCAGCCCTGCGTCTCTTTGCATTGCAGGGTTAAAGGATTGCCAAATATCCTTTCAAGACTAGACATGTAGTTTCCATACTCCATTGTTAGTTAGAACATCCAGCCACATGCCTTTTCTTCTAAGTGGAGAACAGCTAAATAAATAAAATCGGAACTATATTGAGTCTAAAGCTGAACCAAGTAAAATGCTGCACTTTTGGGAAACTGTGCTTTCTGAACTCCTGAATGATGAAAGAAGAGCAAGATAAAGGGCTCTTTTTAAAGACTAAGTAGGTGAACTGACTGTACTAGTTTCCTAGGATTGCCCTGCTTTCAAGCACAGAATGTTTCCCATCCTGGGAAACTCCTCAGTCTTGTGCAAACTGGGACATTGGGTCACCTTACAATAAAGACTTTACTAAGTTGCAAATGACAAAGTTAAAATTCAGTGGAAAAAAATACTCACATGTTTTTTAGAATTATGCACTTTAATGTAGGTAGAGTAATATAAGTGGAAAAAGCACAGTGACTAAGTGCTGTCAAAAGAAGCTATTTGTAACTGGGCAAATCCAAGCCAGTTTACCCATGTAGTTAGAGTGGGTCTTCAGTAGCTCTTCATCTAATTGCAAACTTGATTCCTAGAAGGAAATAATTAGTCTTTACAGGGCTCTTTGAAAACCCCAAACTTATCGTAACACCAAATGTCCTACAGGCCAAGAAAAAATAAACTTTCCTAAGGAAGTTTAACATTTTTGGTGATGGGAAGTCAAGGAAGGAGAAAGTGTGAGATGATCTTTTACAGATCAAGATTGGTAACCTTGGTGGAGATGGAATCCAGATTCCTGGGCCCAGAGAGGGAACCAGTGGAGAAGAACCAGATCACCTTGGACAACCCATGTAAGTAAGGTATTCTACAGGGAAAGGCAATAAGGAAATGAGATTGTAACTAGGGTTTAGGATCAAGAGAGAAATATGTCAAGATGGAGAAGAGTTGTGTATGTTAAAGATGGACCAAAAGATATGAGGGAGAAAGCTCATGTGGATTTCATTGGTAGTCTTATCAAGGAATAAGAGCAAAAGATCCCTTCTCTCCATCCCCATTCAGGCTAGGATTGACAGATAAGTAAATGGAGGATCTTTTTCTAGAATGACCACAAAGCTCCCATCTCCTTAGCCTTATCTCTTAAGGCCTCACTACCTCTTTATGCATACTCTTCTTTTTTTAAAAAAAAAAAATTTTGACATTTATTTTTTAGTTTTTGGCAGACACAACATCTTTGTTTGTATGTGGTGCTGAGGATCGAACCCGGGCCACACGCATGCCAGGTGAGCGGGCTACCGCTTGAGCCACATCCCCAGCCCTGTATACTCTTCTTAACCTATAAACAACTGTTGCACCACAGAGAGTCTGGACCCTGGGACAAAGCTGCTGTATGTGGGATGTTATTGCAATCATGGGGCTCAAATGGCAATAGTATAAGTATAAGCAAAATAGAATAAATTAAAAGGCTAAATTGGAAAAGTTTTGGAAAGTGTTTAGGTTAGGTCTATGGCAAGAAAATCCAAGGCAAGAAAACTTATTTTTGTTTTTTAGTACTGGGCATTGAACTCGGAGGTGCTTAACCACTGAGCCACATTCCCAGCTGTCTCTTTAATTTTTTTTTTTTTTTTTAAATTTTGAGATAGGGTCTCACTAAGTTGCTGAGGCTGGCTTGAAATTTGTGATCCTCCTGAGCCACTGGGATTACAGTCTTTCTTTTGGGGGCAGGGGCAGCATTTAATACTTATCCTACCATCTGTAGGGCCTGGGGCAAGAGTACCAAGGGAGACCCATGTACCATGTACCTAAATATGTAAATGTGTTATGTCATGCTGACATGTGGTATATTCATGCCTCTTCTCGTCCTAATGACTCCATTCAGTGGCAAGGAGCCACGTGGGGACATGGCTACAGTCAAGACCCATGCACAAACCCCAGGCTCTGGGATGAGTAACTCCTTTTGAATGACCAATGACCTCCTCATCTGCCCTGAGTTTGTTAGCTTTCTGTTACTACAAAATCAAGTTGCCATAAAAAGCTTCCAAAGAGAAAAGGGTTATTTTCGCTCACAGACTGTGGTCCATTGGCTGCATTGCTTTAGGGACTGGTTCAAGGCAGCACATCAAAGACAACTCATGGTCGAGCAAGCTACTCATCTCATGGCAGCTGGAAAGTAAAAGAGAAGAAAGGGGCAGCATCCTCTGATCCTCCTCGGGCCTTGTGCATTTGAGGTAAGTACTCTATCAACTGAGCTATATCCCCTTCCTCCACCCTTGGACTTTTAAGGTATGCTCAAGATCCAAACTATAGCACTCCCTAACCAGGCTTGAGGGTGTTTACATCTGGAATTCTAGGTTCTTTATACCTACTGTGTTTTAGAAGGTAGAGAGGGCAAGTCTCCTTGGCCCATCAGAAACTTAACCACCTAGGGTGCAATGTGGCTACAGGAGGGCCAAGCTGGTTGCTCAGGGCAGAAGTCCTTCTTGCCTGGGTATACGAGGTATAATAAATACAATTTCTTTCCCTGAGGTTTTATTTTGTCATTGAGTTCTCCTGATATGACTTAGTTTTCTAGAACACTGTCTTTCAAAGAATGTGTGGACAAGGCTTCTTACCTGGCTTCCTGTAGTACTAACTGCATCAGTACTTGGCAGGCCAAGGGGCTCTGAGATAGTTCCTGTTGACCAAACTCATTCTTATCAGGTATGGGACCTCTGTGAGAGGCCTCAGCCCAGGGGTGTTCTCTGGTCCTATCCAGTTTTCTTTACCAGATAAAGCAAATTGATTGATTGATAAAGGTAGAATACAGTTTTCAAAACACATTTAAGATGGAAGCATACTAATTTTCTGATGGCTTCTAAGGGAAACAGTTTGGCATATGTTATTTAGACGAAATCTAAGCCACTTTAGGAGTTGAGTTTAGGTATTTAGAGTGGAGGAGGAAGCAGATTGATGCATTGTCTGGTCTCCTTCAGACAATGCATCAATCTGCTTCCAAAGTGACATTCAGATTTGTTTTGGAAGAAGTGGAAGGATGGAGGATTTGGGGCCTAGTTCAAGAACGTTGTGAGGGTGATACACTCAGGGGCATGTCCCACCTGGGGATTTAACATACATGGCTCTACTCTTTACCTTGCTTGTGTATTGGGAAGCACCTCAATATGTTTGGACTCCTTTCTACCTCTGTGAAAAAAGGGTCAGTTTTTCTGCCTTAATTTTTTTTCTTGTAAACTTTGAGCCTCTCTGGGAGAGAACACTTGAGCAATTCAACTGTGTATGGGAGACCCAGCACAGGGGGTGGGGGGAGGGGGGGCGGGATTTTGTCTCAGTCATTCTCTTTAAAGAGACAAATTACCACTTCTTGGATGATTGCATAGAGCGGTCCTCAAATGACATGTGGAGCTGCAAGGTTTTAAGAGATGCATTTAACTAACTAAATTCAGTTCCACCTCCCTGAAAACTATTTGATTCATGATTAACCAGCTTGGAGGCGATGATGGAGGTGATAAGGGAGGGTCTTGACGGGTTTCAAGGCTTTGGTAAATTCTGAAGAAATCATTTCCTTAGTGTAGATATGATCTCAAAGACACCTTTCCTTATAGTGGGCACATGAACCTGAGTTGAGTACTGTGAATTCTACCTGAAATAGCTGTCATTTCCTTGAACCCATTCAGCAACAGGTACTATACTGTTTTTCATGCAGCTTTGGAAGATAAACAGGATACCCCAGATAAAACACTTTGCATTGCCCCTACCTCGACCACCCACATTAGGCCATGAGTCCCTCCCCGTTAGTTGGTCTGGCACAATAAGGGTCTCAATATTTGGCAAATGAGTGAATGAGTGCCTGCCTTTCCCTTTCTTTTGTTTAACCAATGTCTCATTCTAAGCTCCTGCAATGACACTCAGAACTCCGAATTCTGCCAGTTTCATTAGGGTGAGGATGTAAGAGTGGGTGTAAGGGGAAGTGGGTGAAGAACGACACGGGAAACCAGCGGATCCCACAGAGGTAAAAAAAAGAAAGAAAAGAAAAGAAATCCTTAGAGACTTGGGGCCAACAAAGAGGCAGACGCAAGCGAATCTAATCACTAGAACCCGGAGCTCCAAATCAGCAGCGAGGACGTGTCCCCGTGCGCCTCCCGGCTGTCCACGTCGCTGGCCGCTCCTGACCGGGTGCCCCCAGCCCAGCACCCGGGGCTAGCCCGTGGCTCCCGCCCCCGGGGCGGTGCCGGG